AAAGAAACCCCAAAATTTCAACCCTTCTCCTTCAGGTGATGTCATGTTTTACCTGATAGCCTCCTACAATCTTCTAGAAGACCTAAAGGCTGAGTTGCTGATTGCTAACATAAATGACCCCTATGAGTATATTAAAAAAAACCCAAAGAGTTAAGATAGATTTATTCAATTTGGCTTTTTAAAATGCTTGCAGGAATATAATGCTGCTTTATTATTGATTCCATATTAGTTAATTTGTTGTACACAGTACCACTTAGTCTTAGAACAACAATTCATTAAAATATTGCTGGTCAAGACTGTATTAAAGTTTATTTAAAGGAACTACAATAGTAAAAACAAAATAAGATCAATATGTAATAAAACAAGTCAGATTTCCATCCCATCCCATCTGTACACAGAAAGAAAGTTCTCCAAAGACAGCAGATATGGAACCGGGAGTCAGCTCCCAGATCTTTGGGAGATGACTTCCATTTCTGCAGCATCTCCAAGATATTCCCCTCCCCAGAGCAGACAGCTCTTTCAATCTTGAAGAGTACTCTTTGTGTCTGTCTATCTGTCTGTCTGTCTGTGATGGGGGACTCAGATCTACCCTGAGCTGATGTTCCCTCCCATTTTAGATTTCCTTCTGGCAGGCATTCAGTTCTCTCAAACTGTTGCCAGTTGGGGGGAATTTCAATCCCAAGTGGTAACAACTTGCATCTTTCCCAGCGGTTTCCCCATTGACTTTCTGGGAAACCAGCAGAGAAGATTGCAAATGGCAATCCTATGCACACGGGACTCTTGGCAACCATTGGTAAGGGTGAACTGGTTGCCAAATACCTAGATTTCTAAAGCACCACCCATTTTGTGGCCATCATAATTCTGGACATTTGTTAAATGAATGTTTGTAAATTGAGGACTACCATTATAACCATCTCATCTTTCTTTCATTCTTTTAAGTTTCACATTGGCAAGCAAGGCAGATGGCCAGGACTTCAATTTTTTTCCCCACAGTTGTCAATTTCCAATGGGTGTTTTCCCATCTGTTTGCTAAACAAAGTCAGGAAGCAATCTGATTTGTATTTTTACTGACTGTATTTTTGTAAATCGGATTTTAAGAAGTACTTCTGAGATTTTTAAAAGTGTGAATTTTAAAACAGTTTTTAGTTTTCAGTCTTCAATTCAGACATTATTTATGAACAGTTTACATTCTGAGAGGAATTTATGCTCAGTGTTCTTGTCTTTCTTCTTAATGATTGTTCCGATTCTGGAAGAATTTATGCCTAAGGAGCAGGCCATGTTTGCCATCTACTTACCCTCCACTCTCTTCAATATGTCCCCATTCAACAACATTGTGATGGATGGCACTTCTTTGGGTTGCTCCTTCCCCATTATCACTGTGGCTCTTCATTGCAGATATTTGCAATCACCTAACACCACACAAAGCTAAGCATCCTACTATATTGTTCTGTAGCCAAATGGATCTGAGAGAAATACGCAAGCTGTGAGAAGGTGGGAAAGGAAGCCATGAGAAAGCAGGAAAGTATGTTTGGTTCATACTGGCAAAAGCTTCTGATTCAAAAGTTTCCAAGTGGAATACCAGTGGTACATATTTTCCTTTCCATTCCTCATGAAATGGAATTCCTTAATATTCCACAATGCATCATTCCACAAAAACTAGAAGTCTCATATTTAGTCTCCGGAGAAGAGGAAAAAAAAAAAGGGGGGGGGAACATATCTTATCTGTTGCTATGACTTTTTTTGCAATTTAATATAGGGACTGAACTTTGAAATCTGGGAATATTTCTCTCTCTCTCTCTCTCGCTGATAGGTATGGATTATTTTCCTTGTTTCACAAAGGCATTAGAACTCAACGTGAATGCGTCCCAAGTGTGTCTGAATGTTATTGTTTGACAAAACTAAGAAATTTCATTCAAAATAACAAATATTCTGAGGTAATTTTATTTTTGTTGTTATTGTTTTAGATAAAAATATTACAATATTCAAGATAAAATTATTAAAGGTAAAAATACATTGTTTGATTTCCCTTCTAAACAATTATACATACAGCACACCATTTTTTTTTAATTTTTCATTTTTTTAAACAAATATAACTATTAATCTATTAGGCTATCTGTGTTCTCGTCTGGCACTTAAGAACAGGTCTCGGGGTCACCTTCTGGTTCTGCTGATTATTAAACATTATTAATAACTGATATATATGTATATAATTCTGCTGTATAGGTGCATTTTGTAAACAAACAGTACAGCTTTGTGGTATCACAACAGCAAGGTGTGCTTTGATCCACTAAAACCATATTTCTGCCAATTTTTTAAAAAAATGCTTTTGACTTTTCAGTCCAATAACATGGTTTGATCCATCTGGAAGAGAGCAGTATGAAGGTGCCATACAACCGAGGTCTGTAAACAGTTAAGTCAGGACAACAGCAACAAAAATTCATTAGGTGTGGACAAATTGCAACAAGCATTTTGTTACAGAGTTTCACATTTTGTTAGGATGTCCTAAACGGTTCAAGATTAAAACTGTTCCTGATTCACAATTCTTATCACCAGCATGAATTGATTCTATGGCTTTCTATCTGACAGTGACAATTCAGACTTAAATTGCCTTTTGTGTGTGTGTAAATCATAAGTTTCCAGTTACTCATTCCATATCGTTGGGTCGACCCGAGACAGGTTCCATTTGAAATAGATCCCACAGACTTTACTATCACTTTACCCCCATATCAGTGTTATTTACAGTCATAGCCATTTTTTTCTCTTTGATTCATGGAGCATTTTAAAACCATATTTGACACATCATCTTGGATGAAGTACACATTTTCTTCTGACAGTGATTAAAATTTATATTAATGTGATTGATAAAATAAATTTCAGAAATGCTTCTTATGAAAATGGAAGAGAATTCTTGAAAGCCAGTGTTTTCTGAAAATATTGATTTAGAATGATTCATAGTGCAACTATTGGGAGACAGTTTCCACAGCTATTAACAGTACAATCCAGCTGCTCTGACTGAATTCCTACATATATCAATTAGTCCAATATATTAAAAATGTTCCCCAAGATTACCAATCCATGCAGTACGCTACATCATCTAGAAGGGCTCTGAACTCTTACATTTTAGTTATTCACGTTGAAACTGCACTTGGGTAACTTCTAGTTTCATGGTGACTACTAAAAGCCACCATGATAAGGAAGCATACGCTAAAGATACTGCAGAATGCTTTAAGGTTCAAATGAGTCCTTGTATTGCTAGGCATTCTCCTTTAAGCCAATCAAACAGCTATAGCTTGATTTCAAGTTCGCATCTGACCCAGGCCTCGTACATATCAGGTCAACTTAATGTTGATGGCGGTGGACAACATTAGCAATGGGAATAGGATGATTTTGGTTTATTTTTCCTGGCCAAAGCAGTGAGGCAGTTTGGAAGCCTTGTTGCTTCCTTCATTTTGCTACTTGGTTTCAGAAGGTTCCACTAAACTAATTTGTCAGCTGTCAGTAGAAAGGGATTACCTTTTCATTTTCTGTGATGGCTTCCAGTATCTACAGTCAGCTGATGTTGAAAAAGGAAGGAGTGTGGAGGAAAAAAAATACAATAACAAAAAAAGAAAAAGCTGTAATATACCAACTTAGTTCCCCTATATTACATGTATATAAGGAAACATTAGTCAGGTAGGATAAGGAGTCAACCAAGTGTCAAGGGAGATATTCAAAGCATAGTGGAGTCCATACCACTGTATTAGAAACCCTTCTTCTATCGCTCTGAGTAAATACAAGTTTGTTTTTGTTTGCTATCAAAAACTTCTTCAACTAGAAATTAACTCCACAAAACCATAACATTTCATTTGCCAAACATTTGACCCTCTGGCAGGGCATGTCTTTAACTCCTGCTTTGTGTTAGAGGTGTAAATGGTAATAATCTTATTACAGATGATGTCCTTTGATCGGAATGGTGCTTGCATTTTGTTCACTTGTTTTGAAGGGGATTCTGTAGAACATTGGTTATTCAAATGTTATTTTTCTGTGTTTCTATGCACTTTTTAGGTTAGAAAGGCTTACGTTTTTGTAAATGTAGTTGCATTTCATAGGGAGACTTTTTGACACATGCAGTGTTACAACACTATCAAATCTGTGTTGAAATGAAAAGGAATTTTAAAACCAGTTTTAAAGCTCTTTTAAAAAAATATATCTGCCTTTCTAATCAGGATGACTTAACCCTGTCATAAATAAATATAAATAAATAAATAAATAACATTTATTTATTTATTTATTGCATTTCTAGACAGGTCATCTTCATCAAATTAGCTCTAAATACTTTACTGCTAGAAAAGAAAGATTCTATGCATGAAACAGTGCCTTTTTAATTTTTTAAAATGTTAGGAAACTTGTTTTTCTAACTACTGTAAAGTGAAATTACCATATATGGAACTACCTATACAACCCTTAGTGTTATGATTCCAAATAATGCTATTATACTCTAAAAGCTTTAACTGAAATGTAAATTTAACTGAAACTCAACGTCATTTTAAAGCAGAAGAGTAATAACTGGGAAATGTAAAAAGCCACAAAATTGGAAGGATCCAGTGCTATGGGACAATGATGCTTAACCTATTTCCTCCCTCTCATCTGCAAATTCAGTTTCATGCAGCTTTATTCTCATAGACTCAAATTTAATTTGAACCTGTTTTAGACATTTTAAACCAAATCTCACTAATCAGAGATAATTAGTGGTCAAAAATTGAAGCACCAACTAACCTTTCCAGCCTGTAATCATTTAACCTTAGGAAACGGGATGCTATATAATTCTGTTTGAAATGGAGACCTCCCATCGCACTTTGCAGTATCAGTAGTGTGTGCACGTAAACATAATAAAGACATTGCATGGTTTGAATTAATGCTTGTAAAATATGTTTCTGCATATCTTTCCTTTTTCCCTCTACAACCTCACTCCTTTTTCATAAGTCTTATGCTTCTGATCCTCTGTAACCATTTGTGATGTCAAAAAAAGCTTGATTTTAATATGAAAATGTCACCTTACCTTTACATCATAAATGAATTAATTGATCATCGGCTTCAATCAATACACCAAACTAATGCACAGTCCCCAGAAAAGAATGGCTAATCAGCAAAATTTCAGCTTTCAACGATTCTCCTTCCTGAACAATTTTTGCTCTTAAAGAATGCTGGTTAAAAGAATAACATATTTTTTCTTCTTCTTTGTCCATTCTCAAATGTCCTTATTTAAATTCTTTCCAAACTTATCACTTAGTTGCTGAATTAATTTTGCCAATTCTCCTGTTGCTTGGGATTTCTCTTCAAGAAGCTCATAACGGAGACTCGAAATGTCTTGCTTAATCTCCTTAAGTTCTCCTATTGTGGAAAAAAATTAAATAAAATGGTATTTAATTACCTTGAATGCAAACCAGCTCATTTCAGTTACTCTTCCTAACTTTATTTCACCTACCTATGCCTTAGGTTTAGTAAGATGATGTGCTTATGGGATTAGTGAACACCATGGTATGAGGGCAGAAATGAATAAAGATCTCAGAGGGTAGCCATGCCTTAATGGCTGCTTCAAAAGGAACAAATGATCATTTGGCTACATTAAACTATTATTCAGCTTCTAAGCATTTATTAAAATGTTACTTATTGCAATCTATTGCTGCTTCAATGCTTCTGAACTCTGAAACCCAGAAACACTTCTAAATATCATTGACTGACCTTCCTTCTAACTTGGAGCTAATATGTTGGGTTCAAAAAGCATATCTATTAAATTCCCATATTGTTATTTGCTAGCCATTGAGGCTGTAGCAAAACAATTGATTGTGGAACTTACAGTACAACTTCCACTGTAAGTTGTAACTTCCATTGGGTGGGTGTGGGTGGGGTGGTAGGGAGAAAGATACACTTGAGATACTTATGATAATTCAGTGATATGCAAAATTTTAAATATTAGCATATTGTATCTCTAAACTTCACTATCCTTGTGAATAGGTGGCAGCCCTCCCCAACAAAAAACGCCTCATGCCATATTGACTGACAACCAAATAGAAAAGATTCATTTAAAAATCCATGACTGTAACAAGATCCATTACAGTGCTGTTAAATTTAAAAGCACTTGCCTTCATTGACTTCATCGTTCTCTCGATCCACTTGAGCTTTCAGAACATATCGCTTAATTAGTCTCTTCATTATTTTCTGAAAATGGAATTATAATGGACTTATTGGAGTTATGTTGCCTGATTATTTCTACAGCATACTAGGGCCACATTGTTAGACAATTAATTTTTTTGATTTGTTGTAGATTTCAGTGGTCTTACACAAGTTCACTTGTACTGAACTGTGGCCCAATGATGCAATTGCATATGTATTTAATAAAATGTGTCCACATTATTTTATGTAAACCACTGAAAGCATTACATGCAAGTCTTCCTGCCCCCTGAATAAGTGCCAGTTTTCCCCAGTTGCTATCATACAATTACTCAAATAATGTCTGTATTTTTTGTCTATGAGAATGCTAATTCAATGGTAGAGAAGGTACTTTCTAGGCAAATATTACCATGTTCACTCCCTAAAATCTCTAGGGGCTATTGTTTTAGAAATTTTAAAATTGATTCAGATAATGTAATATAATGAACAACAATAATACTTTAGCCTAGAAAAGTCAGCTCTATGAAATCTTGGAACATTGAATAACACACTTACTAATCACAGTACTGAACTACATATAAAGTAGCTTCTTTTTTTGCTATATTTGGAAGCTCCTGGCTATGGATTATTTTAGCATTGCCACCAAGTAGCTTCTCTGTCATTAACTATTAACCACAGGATTAGAAACATTTGGGAATAATTGGGAATTTCTTTACAGATGTCAGAAAACTATATATTTCCATGTAACATATATTCAGGACTTTGCTATGTGCACATCTAAACAAATAAACAAATAATCCCATAGCATAATCACTGTACAGATAATCCTCACAACCACAATTGAGCCCAAAAGTTTGATTGCTAAGATGTTAAGTGAGTTTTGCCCCATTTTATCATCTTTCTTGCCATAGGTGTTAAGTGAATCACTTCAGTTGTTAAATTAGTAACAGGGTTGTTAAATGAATCTGGCTTTCCCACTGATTTTGTTTGTCAGAAGATTGCAAAAAGTGATCACACGACCCCAGGTCATTGCAACCTTCATAAATACACACCAGTTGCCAAGCATCTGAATTTTGATCATGTGTCCATGGGGATGCTGCAGTGGTGGTAAGTGTAAAAAAATAGTCGGAAGTCACTTCATTTTAATGCCATTGTAATTTTGAATAAATGAATCATTGTAAGTATGAGAACTACATGCAAATCCATCAGGATAACTGACAGAAAATGAGCATGATCTAGAAAATCTATGATGTTTTCTTAAAGACTTATGTTTACGACTTTCATTTATTTTAATGACCTAATCTGACCTCTCTGACTTGAGTAAGATGATGGACTCTTGGTGCATTCTTTCACCGAATAGCCTTGGATATGGATTAAACAATACAAAGAAGGGGGTGAGATCCTGTATTGGAAATCACAGAAAGTTTATCCTTGGACTATAGATTTTTAGTATGAGTTTATCAAAAAAGGAAGAATGAGAATGTTGGTGTCTCTCAAATGATGACATCCTCTTGAACAATTTAATTATTCTGATTTTTTAAATTATCAAAAGTACGAACAATTGCAAAGGGGGAAAATGTTGGAAACAATTAAAAGAAAAGTCATACTTTTCTCATACTGAATAAAAATGATTCTGGAAATAAATTGCAGAGATCTATTTATTTATTCTTTATGTTGTTCTGTATGTCACTGTAAGAGCTTTTGCTTTTTATTCAAAGAATAAAAGTTCTGTCTACTGTTTTTGGATATACTATATACTATTCATACGTGCTGAATCTCTAAATGGCCAAAGAATTCTGCACTATTCTGCACTAGACTCTTGGCTGCGTATGATACATTTAATATTATAAAGAGTGCCAAAATTAATAGGATATACAATTCTAAAAACTGAACACATGATTTAAGAATCTAGTAGACTAAAGCGACCATGCAATGTGAGGAGAAAAGCCCATTTCTTCCAGAAGGAATCTCTAGTCTATAGGATGGAGTTGGTTCCCCAACTTGTTTCATCCTGGACTATAGAATCTTGATAAAAGCCCAAACATTCAACAATTTGCAAACAATTGCCATTAAGTAGAAAGAAATGCTAGATTATTGGGAAATGGGTGAAAGTGCCAGCGTGCGGTTCCTCCTTCAACATGATAAAGTGGGCTCAAAATATTGAAGAACCAATAATGTTGGATACGTGGGAAAGAATTTGGGTAAGAAATGTCAAATTTACACAAGCCCAAAACCTGAGAGAAAATTTTTATAAGATGTTCTATAGATGGCATTTAGATCCTAAAAAATTGGCCTAATTCCTAAATTCGATGCATCCTAAATTCGATGTATTTGAATTTACAACCCAGATGTTGGAGATGTGGTTCTCTTGATGCTACATATTTTCATATATGGTGGACTTGCCAAAAGGTTAAGGCATTTTGGATAAAAATATGGTGGATTATACAAAATATTCTTTAAAAAAGGATAAAATTTACTCCTCAGTTCTTTTTGTTAGGTATAATCACTAATGGTACAGTGGTAGAGGTTAATCTGATCTTGCATTTAATAATGGCAGCAAGACTGTTGGTTGCGCAATACTGGAAGAAGGAGGATCTGCCTACAATCCAAGAATGGACACTCAAAGTTACAAACTCAGCCGAGATGGCGAAAATATCTGCATATCTTAAAGATCATTCAAATGAGAGATACAAACGAGACTGGAAAAAATGGATCGATTATATACAAAATAAATATGGAACTAAGAACTTTAAGCCTATGCTTAAAATTAGGATTGATTTGAACTGTTTAAAGTTAATTTAGCAAGGAGAAGCTAAGTTCAATGTAAAGAGGTTATTAAT